GAAAGGGGAAGCTTTTGTTTGCAGCACACTGAGTTTATGGTAATAGGTGGTGGAATATTTTGGAAAAGAATAACAATTAATGGTGGTACAACATGAAAAATGTAATCAATGTCCCTGAGCTATAAATGTGTAAGTTGTTATGTTGGTGAATATCTTATTGTGTATGTTTTCACCACAATAAAAGTTGAAAAAAAAAAAAAGAAAAGAAAATACTCCTTGAGTAGAAACTGCCCCAGCAACTCCTCATACCCCAGCATCCTGAACCCCCAGCCCTCCCCTCCTCTCAGCACGCACAGGCCTGGTCTGCTAGCTGTGCTCCCCCCAGGCCTGCCCTGGAGCCTTTGCTCCCAGCCAGCCTCAGTCCGGGTTCCAGCTCCATGCCCTGTGCACCTGCTCTCTCTGCTCTGGACATACCCCGGTTTACCAATGGCCTTCTCGTGAAGTGTGGTGCCAGGAAACAAAAGTGGCAGAGATGCACTCTGCTTTCCAAGCCTGCTCCCTGCCCTCCCCGTCCTCGTACCCATAACTTCATTCTGTCTTCTGCTTTGACAGTAATGGCTAAGCCATGTGTAGACGGGCCCCAGCCCCCACCAACTGGCCAGCTCTGGTGGAGGTAGACTTCCGATGGGCGTGGCCCGCCTCCCTGCAGCCACTGCCCACCCTGCACCCCACTGCACCTGCTGAGACCCTGGTGCTGAGGGATACAGCCTGTGTCCATCTGGGCAGAGCCCAGCCTGTCTCTACCTTCCCCCTGCCTGGGAACATCTAAAGATGACAGTGATGAGGCAACGTAAGCTTAGAGACACCTTTTGTGGTTTGTTTCACAGAGGACAATAAAAAGCCTGTCCCCCTTTGGCTCACACATCCCAGGCCAAGGGATGCTTTTCCAAGGAAATAACCTCAGGTGCCCGAGACCCCTGAAGTCCCAAGAAGGCTTTGTTCCATCCCTACTGACTGTAAAGGGGGCCGTACTCTAGGCTGTCTCTCACTTGTCAGGAATAAGTTGTCAGGAATAAGTCTTTTCTTAAAGCAAGGGTTGAAATTATATATATATATAATATATATAGGGAGCTCTGGTGGCACAGTGGTTAAAGCATTTTACTGCTAACCCCAAAGGCTGGCGGTTCAAACCCACCAGCCTCTCTGTGGGAGAAAG